CAAGTAAAAAAATACAGTTAATAAGTGTCTTATGATTAAAACTCATCGTTTTAACAAAGTTCCATGGCTAGATCGGCATGAAGACTTCACTGCACTGGGGGAAGGGGGGATGGGATAGGCTGAGTATTGGTCATCGGTCGAGTAGACCGAGTGAAAATCACTGTCACGTGCACGCAGTGAACAACTGTCAGCAGGAGATAGGGGCGACATGCGATCGCCACCAGGCGTCGGCCACGGAAGCGAGAGTGTCTGTATTAGCGTCTCCTGACAACGCAGCACTGGGATCGATAGCCGTATAGTCACTGCTTAGATTACGGGACCCAGTCTAGAACATCGCGGGTAGTCACATAGCGATCAGTAATTATTTAGAAGAGGCTGTAGTACAAAAGACAGGGTAGACTGTGATGGTCAGGTCTGACTTATCAGTTATCACCAACCGGTCATGCCCGACCCACAGGTGTGAAAAACCTGGGATTCGAATCTGGACTGTTTGGCTACTGAGCGTTAGAAGGTGCAAGGCTCTGGCCACGAGCTCGCTTACCCTTCGGCTGCGATCAGGGATATTCCCTATCAAGGGAAAACACGTTCACAGGCTGAACGGGATAGTCCCGCTATACTTTGAGGCGTAATAAAGAGTTCTCGAGAACAATCAGTTTTTTAAACTTATTTTGGTATTCTCTTCCGAATCTCAAGCCAATACTGTATGGTAAGTGTTTTCTGCTTCCTATGAGTCATAGAAGGCCAATCGATTACTTTCAAGTGGCCAGTATCCGTGCTAGGACACCTTTTGGAGTTGCCCTTACATACCTTGAGACCGCGAAGCATTTGGTAAACCAAAAAGCAAATGTGGTCATCAGTGAGGTCTTGACAGTCAATAATCGCTCGGAGATCACAAGTCAGCATGGGAGTTACGAGGTATCTGAAAGAGAAAGAAAAATGCAGGGAGGAAAAGAAAACATTTCAAATTGAGATGAAGGTCTTCCAGTTTTTTTTCGTATGAACAAGTTTTCGCGAACAGGTAGCAAGCCTGATTAACTGGTGCATGCAAACATCATCAAGAGATGCATACTCCTCTCTATGGTCTTCGGGAGACTAGACGAAATATACTAGGGCTCCGTAGACAGCGCAAGTATGCAAAAATTGCAATTGCATGTCCACCGTTGGGAATTTCGGGCTGCTTTATGCGAAAAAGAACATACTAGGCGGCACTGAGCCTGCACTAAACGCTGAAACTGACGAGACCCTAACTGATACCGATAGATGAACACCCGCCTAAAGAAAAAAAAA